CCCCAAAACCCCAAAACCCCAAAACCCCTCAGTTATGAAATTTTTGAATTAAACTAGAATAATTTTAAAAATTGAAAAATAATGATAGACGATAATTATTCTGATGATATTGGAAATGAATTTGAGGAAGAATATTTAGATGATGATTACGAAGAAAAAAAGGCAAAACCACAACCATAAATAAAAAATGACTTTTGGGATCCTCAGTAGAAGCCCTCAACAATAAACACTAGCAATCAAAAATCTACAATCAGCACAGTAAAAAATAACATCACTCCAGTAGTATAAAAAGCAGTGATTAAGCAAGCAATTGCTCCTGTTGTTCAAGTTAATAATGCAAAACCAACTTATTAGCTAGAAGAGGATGAAGAAGAGGGAGACTATGAAGATGATGACTTCGACGAAGATGAGGAAGATAAATTTAAGGTAAGTCAATTGTAATCTTTCACCTAGAGTCAGTTTGCATATTTCTATATATTCTCAAAATTATAACGCTAATGAATTATGAATCAAATTTTTTATATAGAAAACTGCAATGTAATTCACAAAGCAATTAGATACTTTGAAGGCCTAAAATGAGATAAGAAAAGCTTAGGTTGATAAGCTTGAAAAGAATACAATTCAATAGAAATAAGGAACTTATTAAAAGCCAACATAAGATGAAGATGATGAAGATTATGATGATGATTTTGATTAAGAATATGAAAAAATTGTCAATCAATAGAATTAAAAAGTTCAGCCTAAACATACATCCTCTGTAATTCAGCCTACTTCAAGTAAGTCAATTGCTATAATAATCCACTAGAACCATCGTTGATTGATCCAAGGTCAAAGTAAGCAACAATGAGTAAAAATGACTTGAAGAGCCAATAAGATGTATAATCTACTCCTGACAAGAGTGTGACAGCAAAAATCTAAAAGCACATTGAAGATAGAAATCCATATAAGTTTATTGAAAAGACTTTAGGAGAAGCTAGAGGGAAGTTAGATAAAATGAAAGGTACTCCTTAACTTCTTGAAACATTGACTGATGTATTTATAATGTTTGTAGCTTACTTTTATTAGAATACAAAGAAGAAGAAGTTTTTGAAGTCTGAAAATAAGCAGTTACGAGATTAGCTTAAAAAAATGTCAGAAAATGTAAACTTGCTGATTGAAAAGATGAACTAAGAAACTTTGCGGAAAAAAAGATTGTAGGGTGGTGGCAACTCTTCTCGACCAGGCTCCTAAAGAATAAAGGCAAGAGAAAAGGAAATTCAGAATACTGATAAGGCTATTCAAAATCTAATTAAAGAGCATCAAAGACTAAAGAAACGTTTAGAGGAAGTTTAATCCCCAGATTTTTTACTAAATTTAAAAAAGAATATTAGAACTACAGAATAAGAGATTAAGAATTATGAAAAAATGCTGCAATAACTGCATGTAGAATAAATAAGAAGAGAAAAACGATTAGATAAGATTATTGAAAAAAATGAGCCAGAAACAATGAAGTAAATAAATGATCAAACTTCTAGATTAGCATATTTGAATGAAAAAATAGCTGAACTAAGAGAGCAGTATGATAAATCTGAGAAACTCAAAGACTAACAAACAGAACATCTTGAAGAACTAAAAACAAGATTAGAAAAACTGCAATAAATCGCAGATCATTATGGGATTGAGGTTGATAAGCATGACTAGAACAATAAGGACTATGAAAAGTTAAATACTGATTTGGCTAACCTCGAAAAATAAAAACGCATAATAAAGAGTGCTATCGATACAATGACTAAAAAATTTGAAGGGGCAATAATTGATAAAAAGAAAGAGTTTGATCAATTGTATATGAAAAAAGCAATGATATTAAAAAGTTACAATGAAAAAATTAAAATGCTGAGAATAAAAGGATAGGAGATTCAAGAATTAATAGAAAAGGCTAAAGCAGGAGCTGATAAAGGTTTGATTGAGATTTTGAAGAAGTATGAAGAGGCAAATCAAAAAATCTTTGAAAAGTATCCTGAAGGTGAAGAAGTTGAGTTAAGCATTCTTGAAGCTGCTGCCACAGAGCTCTAAAAAGCAGAGTAAAGTAGGGTATATAACGATACTTAACCAGACGATAGTGGATTAGATAGTGTAAAGAAAGTTAAAAAGAAGAAGAAAGAAATAGATGATGACATGCAAAAGTATCTAGAGGAACTTAAACTAAAAGAGTAAGATATTTAGGCAAAACTCTAGTCTTAATAAGACTAGGAAAGATAAAAAAGGGAAAATGAAAATCAAATCAAGTAAAAATAGCAGAGAAATGAAAAAGAAGAATAAGATAAGCAAAAGAGAGATTAATAAGACAAAAAGTAAAGGGAGGAAGATGATAAAAAGTAAAGAGATATTGAAAAAAGGCTTTAGGAATAGAGGGAAAAGTTAGAGTAGGAAAAAGCATTGCAAAAACAAAGAGAAGAGGAAGAGGTAAGATAAAGAAAATAGAAGGAAGATGAAGAGAGACTAGCTTAAGAAGCATTGAATAAAAAACCAAATATAGCCAGTAAGCCATTCAGTCTTAATAGGAAAGCTTAGTAGCAAAATTAAACCAATGTCCAATAATAATAGTCTATTGCCTAAAAATAAGAGGTTAAAAATGGCAATGATATAGATGATGAAGTATAGGATGAAGTAAAGTCAGATTAAGAAGACAAGTACCAATAATTGATTGTCCAGAGCACTCCCTAGTAATAAGAGAGCAACAAAAAGCCAGCAACATTTTCAAAGCCAGCATTTATGATGAAACCATCTGTTAAAAATCCCAGTCAAAATGATATATAGAACAATTCATAGTTAAATAATGATGCATCAAGAAATATAGGATCTATACCAGGAGGATCAATCTAAAATTAGAGAGGAGCAGAGCAACAAAAGCCAGTTTCTTTTACTGAGAAATACGGTATTGCACCAACAGTTAATAATTAAGCCTAAAATAATGTTGGCTCATTCTAATCTAATGCTCTTGATATAAATTCTACAATACCAACTCTCCAAGAAAATGGCCCATCTAGAAGATTAATTCAATAACCTTCCTATGTACCTGGAGCATAAAGCAGAATTTCAACTGAAAAGCCAGTAACTATAACAGATAGTAGCTAGCAAAATAAAGAGCCAGTTAAAAGATAAATAGTGGACCCATTCGCAAAATATGATAGCTATGATCCACTAGCTAAACTTCAGCCAGCAGGATAGAGCTAGATACAACCTCTTGCTAACTAAAATTAAATACCTATCATCTCTAATAATTAATAATAAGCTAAAATTGGAGAGGTAAAGCCACTCTAGTAATAGCAATAAAAAAATCCCTGGGGTGATCCAGTTTAATCTGATTTTAAAGAAATTCCAATCCTCAATAATAATAATTTAGGAGGAGCAGGTGTATAACCTCTAAATAAAGGTCTCTGGGGTGATTAGCCATTATCAGAACCTAAATCATTAGGAGTCAATTAAATAGGTGGTGGCCTTGGAGCTGCCTAGAAGCAAAATATATGGGGTAATCAGCCATTAGAACAGCCCAAGAAAAATCTTTGGGATGATATTCCTCAAGAATAGCCTAAATCAATAAATTAGCCGACGATTTTAGGGCAATAGCAGTAATAGCCAAAAAGAAGTCTTTGGGATGAATAACCTTCAGAATTTAAAGTACAAGACTCTAATATAGTCAAACCATTGAATAACAATAATTTTGGTGGTGGAATAGCACCAGTGAATAAATACGATTTTTCAAGCAAAAATGATGGAGTAAGTTTAAGATGATTATTTAACTAACTTATAGAACTAAATATCAAGCTTAGGAGGAGCTGGAATTGGCTTAGCAGGAGGAATCGGTGTAAGTGATACTTAGAACAAGGCACAGCCAAGCAACGACTACTTAAGTATGATAGGAGATAGAAATACTAGACAGCCTAGAAGAATGGCTGCCCCAGGTGGATAGCCCAAATAAGATAAGCCCAAGTAAAATATAGGTGGTGGAGGAGGAGGTATTATGAGTGGTTTAGATGAATTAGGGGATCTATGATAATAATTATTTAGTTTCAAATTAATTTATGACTAATTAAGCTACTTATTACTTAAATTTTGATTTTATCGATTCCCTATTATTTCAGTCGATCGGGGTTTTGGGGTTTTGGGGTTTTGGGGTTTTGGGG